GGTCCTTTGTGCTCTGACACTGTTGTCGGTCAGGGGAGTACTAGTGCTTGGAAGATGTGTGGCCTTGACAAAGCTACATCGTTATGTTTAATATTTGAAATTGTAAAGAAGGATATTCCGGATGCCACTGCTCAGTCTACAAGCAATCAATTTTACTTCCAATTTTTGACTTAGTATGAACTCGCTACTTACTTGTCTTGGTGACCACTTGGAAAAGATGAAAACTTTTGACCCCTTATTGTATTTTGCTACAGTTACCAACATAATAGTGGTCAAATGAGACTTCGGGTTACAACTCTTTCAAGAAGATGGGTTGCTGGTCCCGGAAGCATACAGGCAAGCTCTGTTTTCCTCTTGTATGTGTTTCATTATTACATTTGGTTTCTTAAGGCACTCTTCATTAGTTAACTTGTTGCTTGTTTTGGTTAAAAGTAGTCTGATTGATTTAGTTGACACCTATTTATGCCTTGGTTGTGTGCATGGAAGTATGAGTAATGCTTCTAGTGTAGATATGGAATATTTGTGCATGATCTCAGGAAAGGAAAAAGAAAAAAAAGAATGAATGATATTGATAGGGTAACTATTTATTAGATGTGAATTTATCTATTACTCGAGTGCCGTGAAAATAGGTGTGATTTTGAAGTGCATCTTTTATTAGTAGCGTTATGTTCTAATATGCATATTCAATGATATATGAGGCATGAGATATTTATGTACTCTGATACACATTGTATTGTCTTTGGTAACCATGTGTAGGAAAACTCTGATTCTAAAGCTAATGAAATTTTTTTACAAATTTAGCATTAAACCTCTAGAAATAGGGACTTAGATACCGGCTTAAGAAACAAGAAAAGAAAGGTTAAAACGTATTGCTGTAGTCTCTATCTTGATATTGGTGCACATGCAAGTGAAGGCAAAATGGTTTTTGGATTAAAAAAAAAAAAAAAAAAAAAAAAAAAAAAAAATTGATTGATGGAATAACAATTGGAAGCTGAAATGCTACAGGAAAAAGGAAATCAGAAAGAGAAAGCCTAGGCATCACAGCTAGGGTACTAGGCTTTGAATCTAAGGTTCTTGAGCATCAAATATGCATGTGGGTGCATATATGTGCATGTCATGCCCTAACTTGTTAAAAATTTCAATTTTAGTGTGTTTCTAAAAAAATAGGAGTAAATTGTTTCATATGGAAGTTTACTAAACTTGCTTGCGTATTCTAATGTCACTTTTTATATTGTTTTTACTAATCTCCATGTATTTCAAAGGCTTTAGCTGGTCCAGTTTTACATTGATGTCTGTGAGATAGTTAAATGGCAGTCCTGTGTCACATCATATGTCATCTATTTTGTTTATGAATGTCATAGATATCAATAAGCAGTTTGAAAAACAATTAAAAATAGAACTTTTTTTAATTTTAATTCACAATTATCATAAAGTTTGTTAATGATTTTAGTTTTTAGCAATGTGCATCTTACGTTTGTGTGATGACAGTTGCAAACTGTTCATGGTATAGTGTTGAGGCATGATAACTTGGTAATGGAGACTGTATTTGTTAGATATTTGTACCCTTCTCCTAATACTTTACAGTTGAGGAAGCGATAATGTGATAAGAGGGCAATAATCGGCAGCTCTAATGTCATTATTAGACTTCTTAAAGTGGGCCCCCTATGTATGTCCATCATATGTGATCAGTTGAGGGAGTCATATAACTTATAGTTGTTAGGTTAGGTTGCTGAGGTTGGTCGGATTATCACTGACCAAAACTTTTATGCCAAAATACATTTGAACTAACATTTTCTGAAATCCTCAAATAAAATACCATTGGAGTTATGAAAATCTGTTAAAAATTATTGGATTGATGTTTTCTTTTCTTGAAAGACATGGATTGGCATTATCCCTTCATTTAGGTTGTTGAGAAGTTTGGATTTTTTTTTTCTTTATCCTTCTTATTAATATTAGCATCTTTTTCCTTCATGACTCTATTTGGTTTTTTTTTTAAATCATACTGCTTGTGGATGGCTTTCCAACTTTCTTTTTAAGGATTTTCATAGTATTTCTTGAAAGCACTTTATGGATTTATTTTTATATGCTATAGGACTTGATTGCTGGATTTGATCAAGAAGCAGCTGTTGTAGTCATGGCACGCTTAGTTTCTTTCAAAATGGAAATTGAGGTAAACCATTTAATCTGTGTAACTTATTATTTGGTTCATGTTATGTGATAAAGCAAATGCTGATAAACTTTGTGTTGACTTGTAAAGTACAAGATCTCTTTCTCACATTTAGTGCACATGTATTTTAAAGAACTATGGATTTCGTAACAGAAGTTAGCTACATAGGATTTGTTAAGGGTATCAGCTACTAAGAACAAAGTTTCATTGCAATAAGTACAAAAAGATTGAAAGAAGTCTATTGAACTGAATTCTTGTTTTATAACAGGAGTACAGTCTTATTGGTTATTTGTGAATAAACTGTTGGTAATTTGTTACATTTTAGGTCAATATCCTTTTGCTTTTCTTATAATTGCTGACATTTGTATTTTTGAGCCATTGTGCAATTAATTCACTATATGCATTCTTCATGAAGGCTGAGTTTGACCCTATAAGGTGGCTGGATAAGGCATTGATACATGTCTGTTCTCGATTTGGAGATTTCCAGAAGGATAGCCCATCTTCTTTCAGCTTATCTCCACGGTTTTCAATATTTCCTCAGTTTATTTTCAATCTACGGCGTTCTCAGTTTGTTCAGGTACTTAATCTTCTTTCTGAGTGTTATTTCATTCTTTTTTGGCTTCTAGTAATTCTTGAGTTTTATAATCTACAGCTCTAATTCTGATTATTTGTTTTGTTATAGGTCTTCAATAACAGCCCAGATGAGACAGCATACTTTAGAATGATCCTGAACAGAGAAAATGTTACCAATTCAATTGTGATGATTCAGCCCTCATTGATTTCTTATTCATTTCATTCAGGCCCTGAACCAGCTCTTCTTGATGTGGCTGCCATTGCAGCTGACAGAATTCTCCTCTTAGACTCGTATTTCACTGTTGTTATTTTTCATGGTGCAACCATTGCCCAATGGCGAAAGGCTGGATACCATCATCAACCTGAGCATCAGGTAGTGTATATGGAGTTTGACTTTAATGCTGATGGAGACAGAATACATTATTATTTACCACATGCATATGTTTCACACTGGCTTGCACATTGAATATAAAGTCCAATAAAATGTCTTTGCAATTAACTTTTGGGTTAATAGTTATGTCTGTATTCTTGCCTGAAATTAATCCTTTCTGTTCCAATGGATGTGCTCTATGTTCATATTACAAATTCAATCCTCTATTTGATGTTGCTTATCAATATATTATATAGGGATGGGATACCCAAATCAAGGTTTTTTTATTATTTATTTTTCTTATTTTAAAGTTTTCTTAATCTGGCAAAATTGGTGGGCCAAACCCTGACTGAACTATTTCTTCTAAATTATATTCTATCTTTGCAGGCTTTTGCACAGTTGCTGCAAGCTCCTCGTGACGATGCAGATGCAATAATCAAGGAGAGGTTTCCAGTTCCTCGTCTTGTCATTTGTGATCAGCATGGCTCACAGGTTGGTGCTTCTCCTCCTCTCTCAACTCTTTTCTATGATGGATGGCCTTTGATATTTAACCATGGATGTCTCCATTTATGTCTAGTCCTCACTTGTTAAATTTAGTAAGTTAGTTCATTCTTGGACTATAGAAGTATTTAGGTGTAAATATTCCTAAATCAGAGTCAATACAGATGAACACCATGCCTCATTTTGCTAAGCTTTGGCACTAAAGTTTGATTCTTGATGCATTGTTATTAATGCGTCTTTTTAATCTAATCGAGGGATTATAGGCACTCTTATCTTACGCAATATGTATAATATACTCAGTTTCAACAAGAATTATGTACTACATCAAAGCCCTTGTTTTCTTTGAAGTTTGGAGTTGGTGCAGACTAACATTCATTTTTCTCCAGGCCCGTTTTCTTCTGGCAAAACTGAATCCTTCTGCGACCTATAATTCTGATGCTCGTGTTCCTGGTGGGGACATCATTTTCACGGATGATGTTAGCTTTGAGGTCTTTTTGGATCATCTCCAGAGATTAGCAGTACAATAAAAGTATGAAATGGCTTTTTGCAGTTTTGTATAATTTGTCCCTGAATTTTTTTTGTACAGTTAATGCATCACTTTTTTTTTTTTTTTTTTTTGAAAAATTAATAGATATGTTTTCCGTTGGCTTTATAGTTATGAAAATACTTGTGTTTGATATCAATATAAATCAATGAAGAGTCAAGGCAGTAAATCATAATTATCAAAGTTACTTTTTTCAAAGCTGCAGGTTGATTCTAAATAGGATTGTTGTGGTTGTTTGTTTAGCAGTCTTATTAAACGGACACATAGATAATGTGGTATCTGAATGTTATCCAAAGTTTTTGCATTTAGAAGCAATGAATGTGATCGTGGGCAGCACTCCTCTCTAAGGGTAGTCTTACCGTCTTTGGACTGCCAAATAGTTGATTTGAAGCCCGTATCAAGGGGTTTGTGAAGGTGCTTCTGGAGGTTTGGTGAAAAGAGAACCTGAGTGACTCTAATAATATCTCCTACTTACAAAATAAGATCGGTTTCTATTGACTATTATAGACCTTTTTTCAAAAAATTTCCTTTTGGCAATGGTCCCATAACAATAATAATAAAGTATCAATTTTCACCTGTAGCCCTAAAGTTTAATTTGCGCAGGAATTTATAATTTATCCGGGCATTGCATACCAAGTTTCAACTTTCATGCATGAGGCAGTGGCAAGACATGGAACGTTGAGGTTCTTGTGTACTAGCATTCGAATTCGAGTTGAGAGAAAAGAAACTTCTATTAATCATAGAAAAAGTACCCAAGCAAAAAGTCAAAGTACGAACCATATTCACACAACTTCATTAGAATTGTTCTTACTTCTTAATCACACCTTTTGTTTGAACTGCCTGCTTATTTCATATTTTTCTTTGCAAACTATTCAAGCCACGTTTTCAAGCTTGCCAAACAAAAATAACAGATTGTTTCAATAACATCTTGATCCACGTCCCTGCAGCGAGAATATCTATATGAGCCCAGGATTCACAGAGATCCCTTTATGCGGCAGTATCCTGTTGGTCGCTTCTATTATTCGTCACTCTTGCTTTATATCTGCTCATGAACTTCGCTATAAACTCTGTGAAAGAGGGAAACTTTTATGTTAGAAAAATTACTGCGGCACATTTACTCTGTTTTTTTATTTATATAATCATAATTTTCTAAATCATGAATTGATATATAGAAACAATGGTAATATAGACATGGGCAATCGGTGGTAAAAACGAAACATCAAGTTTCAGTGAAAGTGGTTTCCAGGTTAGACTTAGGTTGCTAAAGGTAGTTGTCGAATCTCAAGAATTTTATTTTGGATGTATAAGGAGGGTAAGATTTATAAGGAGGTTAGTCAGTCTCCTCTTTGAAATAGTGATAAACGTAATCTGATCTTTGATTGTTTTACCTTCGATCCTCAAGAAATGTTGAACATTCTTTCTCACTGGATCGTTTAGCCTCTTTCCCATTTCCTCGTGTCGAGTACTGCGTGCAAAGACAGATGGCTTCTCGTCGTCAAGCATTCCTCCATCATCTCTCTGGAATAGAAGAGCACAAAATGTAGCTGTCATGATACCATTTGCATTTAATACGAGGAAAATAAAAAGGATATCAACTTGATAACTTAAACTAGAATTTTACAATATCTTAAGGGTAACGTTGATGTTCATACATTGTATTCATCATAAAGATCGTCAATACAACTGTGTAATCCCGCATCCGAATGCTTTTTTAGTTCTTCAACAAGAGACTGCATGCAAAAGAGATATGTTAATTTTATTGAGAGATATTTAACTTAGCTAACACTAATAGAGCCACTTATCAGAATTGAAGCTAACCTTGAAAATGAATTCAAGAGATACGTCGTGCTCTATTAGATTTTGAAGCTTCCCTCGGATGACATATAACCTACGAAGAAAGACATAATGACTAGTGACTAATTTCTATGAAAGTTGACAAATTTTGGAGTTACCCAAATGGAAAAATAGAAGTCTCTGTTCATATATGATTGTACGTGAAATGCATATGTGCAACATGCGCATTAAGGAAAAATACGCGCTTCTCGCAAAACTTACTGTTTTGGGCTTTGCTCTTCGATAATTTTCTTGGCAATATTTGTAATGTCATCTTCCCAGCCAGTCAATATTTCTTGGTCATCCTTAAATGGATAACTGCACTTATGTCATTGCATATCACATTTAAAATAAAATAGCCATATATAGTTAAAAAAAGAAAAGAAAGAAAGAAAAAATCTTTATAAATTGTTCATAAAACAGTAATTAATTTCCTTACTTCATCTGCCAAGAGGCCTCAAATGAGCGAATTGCTTGACGAAGATTATTCTTGGATTTGTTAGCAATTTTTTCAGCAAATTTATGTGGCAATTCTATGCCTTCTTGTTTAGCTATAAATTCCAGAACTTCAACTATCTAAACATGTAAGAGAAAACTAATCAGACTACCAATGTATGTTTATATATATATATATATAGTTATCTTAATTAATTGTACACCAGTAAACCTACCTCTTGTTTTGAAGGAGGAAAAAGCTGAACAACAGTGCAAAGCGACTTAATGGGTTGAAGCTTTGAGACATCAGAGCAGCAGAAAAAAATGTTATTTAACCCTTTGTGCCTTTCTAATAACCACCTGACGTATAGTAAGGCATCTGTGGATAGCTTGTCTGCTTCACATAAAAGAATTGCTGCAAAAGTAATTGGCAAATTGATACATGCATCATTTGTTTACCTTCGGAAAGAGCAATTTAAATTCAGAGAGCTAAAATTAAACGAAAGTTAATTAATCTACCTTTGCTGTTGTCAGGGTTTGACTGCAAACCTTTATTGGATAGCTTGCTTTGTGTTTCCTTCATAAGTTCAAGAATGACATGCTTTTCATATCCTTTTAAATCAGAGACATTAACTTCTATATGTTGGGAAGATTCCTTGACCTTTACTTTGATACTACCTATTAGTTCCCCCTGTGACACAAGTTTGAGGACCACAAGGTTACCTAATGAGATAATCTCAAGTAATTTTTGGAAGGTGAGAATTTAATCATTCAATTAAGTCAACGCAAGGTCTGTATAATTTCAAGCATTGATGACAAACAAGGTTAGTGATTTCGTTTAGAGTGATCTCAAAGTGCAAGGTTTTTAAAATAGCTAGCAACTAAAAGTTAATCAACGAAATAAAGTATAATATTATTATACAATGAAAGTTACCTTTAATTCAAACACCTTGCATACCTCCCTGGTCTGTAAAAGAGAAAACAAATGCATTATCATCAATATATATATATATATATATATATATTTTTTTTTTTTTTTATAAGACGAAAATATATAAATTCTTTATATAAATATGTAATACCTGGACTGTGTCCGGTCCGAATGCTTCTCGAAGCATAGCACAAATCATGGTTCTTTTTCCCGCCCCCGGTGGTCCTTCAAATATAAAATTTCGGCATCCTCCCTCTTCCACCTGGTACATTATTTCTTATTAATTAGGGTTTGTTCATGGACTTTACATACAGACATATAAGTAAGACAGGAATTGACATCTCACCAGATCCCGCAGTTGAATCACTTTATCTCGATTGCAAATAAAATCTTTTAAAGTTTTGGGCTGATACTTGTTTGCCCATATAAACTCCTTTCCTCTGTCTATTTGGATATTTGTATGTTTTGATTGGGATGTGAAGGTTGTGGATGATTCTGATACTCTCTCCCTCAATGGCTTCTCCGGATAAACGTCCTCTTTATCCAAATTCATCTCCTTAACGGAAGTTGATATTGTTGTCTTAGTTGAAGTAAAATAAGAAGAGGAAGTAGGACGATTATGTTTCTTGAGCGGAACAGAGGTAGTAGGATTAGGTGATTTAAAGGTAAAGCAAGAACTCCATTCTTGCATTTTGACCATGAAAGAGGAAAGAGAGCTGGAAGTAGAAGTGGCCATGGTGGTGGCATGACTTTCACGTCCAGGACTAGAAACAAATCTTCCACGGTTGATGACAAGGGATGCATCAGTGAGTCCTTTGTAGTAGGGACTGCATTTCGCGTTCTTTTCATCCGCAGTGAATTTATTATGAATAATAGGCGCGTGTCTTCTATTATGGGCCTCAAGACTCTCCTCTGTTAAGTCGGAATGCTTGGACGAGGAATCTGGGCTCTTTCTTCCAGGGATTATAAAGTTTCCAAGTCGCCAATACGAGAGTTTGGCGGTTGACCGAGCCGAGCAAACAGAGCGGTTCGAGGGAGGAGGGATCAAACTGTGAGTTTTGGCTGATGATGACGGGATGTTGGGATAAGATGATGAGCGTGGAATTGGTGATGGACTCGGCATCGCATTTGCAGAGCTATGTCTGCGATACGATCGATACTGGCAAATTACTTCAATATCAATTACTTTAAAAAAAATAATAATAAAAAAAAAAAAAAAAAAACTATAAAACACTCCTTCAAAGAATTGAAGTACGGACAGATGATGGCATGAAGGATGATGTGATGGGCAGTGCTTTTGTTGATTATTCCGAAGGATACCGCGATGAAATCAACGACTCAATTAATATTTATTTGCGGCCGGCAAGAACAATGGTTTGCAAATGAGGCTCAAACAGCTGGTAAAGATTCAACGATATTTTAAAATTACGTACTAATATTTCTATCTCACTCAATATGAATATATATGGTAAACATAGATATAAACAACAAACCATAGATGTCATTTCATCATCAGTCAAAAGAAAAGAAACTAGGTCTAGTGAATGTGGCACACTTGGCCTCCAGAGTTAACAACATTTTACTACTGTAAGGTTTAGAAGTGTCAATTTATTCAACAGGTTTTTAAAAGTGACATTAATTTTTTTTATTTGATGGTAAGGAGGTTAAAAAATATTTACTTCTTAAATTGTTTTATTTATTTTATTTTGATATAAACATAAACTTAATTTTGTATAATTTATATAATATTATATAACTAAAATTATTTAAGGAGCCACCCAAGACCCAACCCATGGCTTGGCCACTCCGCCTCTCTGTACGCAGTGATCCCTTCTAGTGAGCAATTCATTTAGAAATATATTAGCCATATGTATCATATGTATATGTATTTCTAGTTCTAAAAGAAAGAATAAATAGTTTCAACTTATATATATATATATATATATAAGATTTAAAACTGATTTCCATAGGTGGTTCAAGTGTCTCTGATTCGGGATTGAGGGATACACCAACCTTGAATGATTTATTATCGATAATTCATCAAAATTGAAGAATTATCAATGATAATTTAATAAACAACTTGTCCTCTTTTTCATTTTCTGTATGTATGTTTTTCTCTTCACATTCATTTCTGCCGCCACTTTCTTCATCAATTTTGAACTATTCTATGATCCTAAAGCATTTACAATATATAACATAGAATAAACAAACGAAACTGTATTATATAGATAGATACATAGATAGATAGATGAATGGATAAAGGTAACAGACAAGAGACAAACTCGTATATTATCAAATAAAGGGATATTACAGTTTTAAACCCTTTGTAACTGTCCCTGAGAGCATTATATACAAAAAATTTGTAGTGTTTTTTTACGTACATAGGATAATATCGATGAGGATTAACAAACTGGATTATTTGATTCGAAATTAACCTGTTGAATTGGACAGGCAGCCACCTACGTATAAAATATCTTTAATCATGTGTATTCACACTTGTACTCCAGTAAATAAGAAAATCGACCAAACCGATATTAATTATATAAGTTTATACGCTTTAAAAAAAAAAAAAAAAAAAAAAAAATCTTGGAATGCAATATTGTAGCAGTTATTATTTGTTTATTTTAAGTACATCAATTCCATAATATAATAACAGGAAATTTACCCAAACAAATTCGTGACATATAATCTTCATATATGGTAGTATTTTGACTGACATTAAATTTATTTCTACATGATAGAACAAGCATTTGGATTTTCATCACTAAATAACTGGGGGGCGTAAACGTAGTGTACAAAATATGGAGCATTGCTCTCCTTGCTTTTAGCCTCCACCTTTACCTCTTCTTTGAATTCTATAATTTTGGTTGACTCTATGGATTTGAATTCAACTTTTTCCTTTTCTTTCTTTTCCTCTATTTTCTCCGGTTTTGAAGTTACGATCTCTGCGTGTTTGTGCACCTTCTTCCGCAAGTATGATAGTAGTTTATCAGACTCAATACTTCCTTGGACTGTCACAGTTTGAGCCTTCATATCAGTTTTAACTATGTGAATCCCTGCATTTGTAATGAATATATTAACCTTGCAGTATATGTGGCACATACATAATATGATATAATCCATTAATAATACCTTGGTGCTTCAGTAATTTTTCCCGCAGATCATGCTCACATTTGTCGCAGTGCATATGAACCTTCACTGATGTAGAGCGTATAATAGGCTTCAAATAAAACAAAAAAATTAATAGCTGTTACACAGATTTAACTAGTTAATTTTGGGTAGATACATTTGCTTAGTGATGGCCATAATCAGAATTGATTTTATGCGAAATCCATGAGCTAGCTAGCTAGATAAATACCACGACTTACCTCTTTTGTTTCCTTGGGTTTCTTCTGATCGATGCCAGCACTCTCTTTCTCCAATTTAATTTGGGGTGATATCAACTCGACCTTTTTCTTACTTAATTTTTCGATTAACTTATGAATTTTTATCACATCGATCATGCCCTTGGCCTTAATCTCGCTTTTCTCAAAATCAACGTCTACACTCCGAATCCCTGTTCGATCAGCACAAATTAAGTGATGATTTACGTGTATTGTTATATTTTTAATTTTAACCACGACTATCAATAAATTTTACGTACCTTGGGTTCTCAAAAGAGGCCTTCTGATCTTGCGAGCGCATTGTGGGCAGTGCAGGTTAACTTTGTATACACCAGTTATAGCCCTAACATCTTTCTTCTCGTCTTTTGCTGCCATTAGTTAATTTTTCAGCAACTAATACTCGCACTGAGATTGATTTGAGCACTATGAAGTATGAACCGTAATGAACACCTTAACAGCATAATTAGAAAGAGAAAGAGTAACGTGGTAATGGCTTTGCTTCAAGGAAGTTAATTATTTGTTGAGGGTAGTTCAACAGCTATTTGAAATTTGCGGTTGCAGGTATGACTCCTGTCAACGGTTTTATTTCTTTTTTTTTTACACAATGATACCAAGTTTAGGTGTGTGTATATATATATAATTTTTTACAAAAAATCTTCTGGTTCTAGACCTTTTGTGTTTCGGCAAGTTTAAGAGTATACCAAATTATTATACAAAATTTAATTTATTAGGTAAGTTGTTAGTTCAAATGGGAATATGATTATTATTCACTGATAAATTGCATCAAACGCCATCTGTGAAATAATAAAATAAAAAGAAACACATGATCACAATATTGGAAATTAAAAAGATACTACTTCTATGCTCTTTTCGATAGGTCACATAACCAAAATAGAGGCTTCAATCTCATCTTCAAAGAGTAGAGACTAAAAATTGGCGGAGAGGAAGGGAGCTATTGGAGAGAAAGACGAGTCTCTAAGATCAACTTGTATTGTATGACGCATTCCAAATATTAAATTTTGCCATAACTACAACACGGATGTCAATCAAATTGTTTGCTTTATATTTTGATGTGAACAAACTTAATACACTTATTATAGCAAGAATTATATGGGCAACAAGGAAAATTGAGTAGAAATATATCTACGTGGGTTGCATGACATTACCTTTAAGGAGGGCATGCAGAAAATTAACCGTCAATATGAAAATACAGTCACTACAAAAAAGAAAAATTTGGTTGGGTTGTGAAAAGATTTTGATTATATAGTTGAGGGAGTGGTGGTGGGAGGAGATGGAGACGTTACATCAGGCAAAGAATTGATGGCATTATCATCGTGGAGATTTGAGGAAGAAAGACCATGCTTTGCTGTCTCCCTCTCTGCCTTCATGCCAGCCTTTGCCACATGTAACCCCATTTTTGCTTCTGCCTCTCTTGCTAACCTAGCCTCATGAGCTATTTCCATTCTGGCTTTCGCCAGTTCCTTCTCGGCCTACAGTATAACATTATATAAACAAATTTAATTTAATTTAATTGAGTTCAATTCCAATATAAAACAGCAAGTAATATGTTATTTAATCAATATATGTCCTATATACCTTCTCCTGAGCCTTTGTCTCAGCTTTGGCCTTGCGCATGGCGCTGATATCCTGTAGCTTCTCTTTCACAGCCTGCATTTTCCTGTCTCTCAAACAATCTCAATACGGTATACATATATAATTAATCAAATTCCGTCAACTGAAATATATACTAGTTTAGCCAACCAACAATTCCTATATATCTATGCTCTATGCATGACACATGTCATTCCTATGGAAGCTTAATTCCTTGTGGTATAGTAGAGGACCAATAATCTAACTATTCAAGAGGATGATTCTAATGTCCGGTTCTCAAGTTCCCAAAAAAAAGGGGAAAATGGAAGTCGATAATTCTTAATTAGGGCCCAAAAGGGGTTTCTATAATGATCAATAAAATGAGTGGAGTTATTGAAGGTCACAAAATTTTGATAGAAAAGGAAGTCCCGTACTCCCTAATAATCATTTTTGTTGATGCTTGATTTTGATACCAACTATTCGCACATGTGAAGTGCTAAGCGGATTTAGAAATCACACGTGATATGGAAGTGCAAAAAGAGAGATGGAGCGGGTAATGATTTTTAAAGTGGTTCAGATGCTCTAAGGCGAGTCATACGTCCATTGTGATTATATTAATAGTGGATTACAATCAGGTCACATTCGACGAGCTGAATTACAATAGAGAAACTAAATGGAAAGAGAGGGAGAGAGAGAGGGTGTGTTTAGATGCTGGATGAGTCAATCCCATAAAATAGAGGAGAGCCCTCTATTTATAGTTGGAGGATTCAAGCTGGTAATCATGATTCTGCGTGCGGGCAGGTGTGGTACAATTCCTAGCCCGCTTCCCATTAGTTGTCTTCACGGGAGATATCCTTAAATTGCGTATAGCTTCAGCAGGTGGACAATTCCCAGCCACTCATAGGCCTAGCGTTCACCTGCCTTAATGACGATGACCTTACCCCTCTTGTCCTTACGGGATGTGGCTTCATCCAGACGGCAGAAAACCTTCCTAAATTCTGATTGGTTTCTGCTGACGTATGCTTACGCCAACCCTGGTCCTTGGGCATAACAGAAGCCCCCAAGTTTTTAAGGTTTAAGGATTAAGCCTTGAGAACTTCATGGTTATGCCGCGACTCGGTTTATCCCGGGTGATGCTTGATTGAGCTGTGTGGATCCCTGAGAACTGTACTTAGCGACTTGATGTGGCTTTTTTATGGCAGGTTCAGCGAGCTGATTCAAGTCGCGATCAGTGTCATATCAACATGCCCCGAGCCGCGACCCTAACTTGTGACCTGAGGGAGTCTCATCACCTCTCTTATCAAAAGCAAGGAGTCGCGTTGCTTTGAAATCGACATGCGACGAAGAGTGTTAATTCGAACGACCTCTTCAGATGTTATCCGTTATGCGTGACAGTTCACCTAACCAATAAAATATTCTTTATTCTGACAGACTTGTCCATTACGCAATAAGTGCTAGCCATGCACATTTAATGCGAGCCATGCTGAAACGACATTTTTCTTCAGGGCATCAAATGCGGATAGAGGCGCATTTAATGTGGAGGAGGGTAACCGTGCCATCGTTTGGTTATTCCAATGGAGCGAAACGTCGACTGGTGTTTCTGAAGCGTGGGAGTTACTCTTCTTACAGATTAACGACATGTGGTCGTAATCAATGGCGAGAATCGTGTCCTGCCCAAACGTCGCCTGCTTAAGAAACCCAATTGATGCTTTTTCCCTATAAAACCCCGAATCTGCTTCAGATTTGTTGCCACAAACTCTCATTCTCAGAAAGAAAAATGAAACTCTCGCAACAGTCAGCCCACCTTTTTCCGTTTGAGGAACCATCAACATAGAGGCTCCAGGTTGACAGGTTCTGATCGGTCTCTTGGATGACCTCGCTGGTCGATTACTCGAGTCTTCAATTGAGCTGGTATGAAAAATCCAAAATGAAATCGGCAATAACCTGCCCTTTGATGGTTGTTTTCGGTCTATAATGCAGATTAAACTAACTTAGTTCCATTACCCACTTAAGCAACTTACTCGAAGTCTCCGGCTTCTGAAGGACTTGTCTGAATGGATAGTTGGTCAGAACATGAATTTTGTGGGCATGGAAGTAAGGTCGCAGCTTTTTGGAGGCGGTCAGTAGTGCATAAGCTAATCGCTTCATTTCTGGGCACCGTATCTCGATGTCCAACAGTCGCTTGCTTGCATAATATACTGGCCACTGAACTCTGTCTTCTTCCAGATGAGGGCAGCACTGACCGCATGTTGGGAGACGGACAGGTACAAAAGTAAAAGTCCTTGGGAAGAGGCTTGGATAGGAGAGGTGGTCTTCCGAGGTGTTCTTTTATACTCTGAAAGGCCTGTTCACACTCTGGAGTCCATTTGAACTTTTTGTTGGCCCTTAGCACATTAAAAAATGGCAAGCAACGATCTGTTGCTCTCAATATGAAGCGACTTAGAGCTGTTATCCTGCCATTCAAGCTCTAAACCTGCTTTTTGCTGGTAAGGCTTTTCATATCAAAGAGAGCTTGGATCTTTTTGGGGTTGATTTCGATTCCCTGCTGGTTAACCATGTACCCTAGGAACTTTCCTAAGGATACCCCGAATGAGTGCTTGAGAGGGTTGAGTTTCATTCTGTACTTTCGAACCACGTCGAACATTTCGATGAGATACGCTATGTGATCTGAAGTGACATACGACTTAACTAGCATGTCATTGACATAGACTTCCATTATTTTGCTGATTTATTCGGAAAACATACGGTTAATCAGCCGCTAGTAAGTTGCCCCAACGTTCTTCAAGCCGAAGGGCATGACCTTGTAACAATATAGTCTCCGATCTGTAATGAACGAGGTATGCTCTTCATCTGATGAGTACATCAAGATCTGATTATATCCTGAGTAGGCGTCCATAAAGCTTAGCAGCTCAAGTCCAGAAGTGGCATCAACGAGCTGATCGATTCTCGACAAGGGAAAGTTATCCTTCGGATAGGCTTTATTGAGGTCGGTGAGTCGACGCAGATCCGCCATTTGCCGTTGGGTTTCTTTACCAAGACCAGGTTGGCAACCCAGCTCGGGTAAAGTGCCTCTCGAATAGACTCGTTCAAGAAAAGCTTATCCATCTCACTTTTTAGGGCGGCATAGCATTTAGGGTCTATTGTGCTTCTCTTCTGGCGGACTGGCTTGACTGCACTATCAATGTTTAAAGCATGACATATTACGCTCAAGCTAATCCCAACCATATCAGTGTGAGTCCATGCAAAAACATCAACGTTTTTTTTAAGGTAGCTCGTCAGGCTTTCGGCGAGCTTGGGGTTAAGATTACTCTCGATTCTTAATACTCTGGTTGGCTCGCTTTCATTGGCTGACACCTCAGACAGGTCCTCAATTGGCCCGCTATGAGGGCACTCTTGGATGCGAGGATCCATGTTATCTTTTGCTAGTCCAAGTTGTGGCTCAATCTTGTTGATTGTCATGGCGTGTTTGGGGGCGCCCACTGGCTTCCCCTTTCCCTTGCACGCCATCTGGACTGCCCTTATGTAGCAGTCGCGAATTCACGTTGGGATCCTTGCACTTCTCCAATCCCTATCGGGGTGTGGAACTTTATCTTCAAATGGTAGATAAAGGTGATAACCTTGAAATTCTGTAGTAGAGGTTGCCCCAGGATGTCGTTGAAAGCGGACGGACAGTTTACCACCAAGAACTTCGTCACTTTTGTCACTTCGTTGGTTTCTCCCAACGTGACGGGGAGTGAAATCGTTCCCTTGGGAATCAGGTGATCCTCGGTAAAACTGTAAAGGGGGAAGGAGGCAGGCTTCATGTTTGCCTCGTCCAGTTGCATTCTCTCGCAAGCTTGCTGAAACTGGAGATTCACGGCGCTTCCATTGTCAACCAACA